TAGAAAATGAATCATTCTTTTTGAAAAAAGACTAAAAAGAGATATAGATAATTTTTTTTTAACGGAAGGGGTATATTTATTTCATCTACTACTTTCTCTAAGTGCCAATTAATAGTAGGTTATATAATTGATACTCCCTTCGTTTTAAGTTGTTTGTTTAGTTTTGTTTTGATACGTAATTAAAAAAAAAACAGATCTTAAATTAAAGATATATAAAATGTATCAAAATATCGTTTAATTTTGTTGTTTTAAATATATTATGCAGAAAGTAAATGTCAGATAAGAAAAAACAACTTTTTAACGGATTAAAAAAGAGAATAAGATAAATAAATTGAAACGAAAAGAATAATTAACAAAATAGGGCGGAGGAAAGCAGCTCAAGTTGGGAAACCAACCTTTTCTTTAGTAACTTAATCATCAAGTAATACACACCTTTTTTTTTTGTAGGTGGATGGCACTAATTATATTTGGCTAATTACTATATCATATACACAATCTATATATAAACATAATTGGAAGCAAAAAATAATAATCAAGAGCCCATTTGATGTTTTGTTAGATTAATCTCCAAGCAGTGAATCAAAAGTCACAAACAAAGCTAGAAAAATAATAAAGTGTTCTAGAAACTCAATATATTCTAAAGTAATAATATTATACTATATAGTATAATGCAGCCTCTCATCAATCATCAGTTGTTAGTGTTTGTTACCTATTCTAATTTGTTCGTTCCATCACCAACCAACTAAACTCTCCAACTACATATATATATATATTTCAAATTTCTTTTCTAGGTCCCATTACCACCCAACTCTCAACATGGACAATGGCACAAACAAGAATCCAAAATTTACGTTGCTTGAACTTTTTAAAAATGTTATTAAGTGCGTGTCAGGTAAAGGATTCAACACGAATACGATAATATTTTTGCAAAAATCCAAAATATCCTAAGCATCAAACATGAAACATTCACTCAATTAATTACCATGCATTACATCAACACATAATTAGGTTCACATATTTTCCACAGGTATTCAGGTTTTGCTAAAATGGAGTAATATATACACTAGGATCATTTGGTAGAGTGTATATGATAAAATAGTTATATTGAAATTATTATTTTTCATTATTAGGTGTTTTTTCCGTTTCTATTTATGTCATCATATTTTATTTTACGTGCATTAAGAAATTAAGTAATAACACTATTATTTTGCCTTTTATTTTTTAAAGTCAAACTTTTCAATTAATGGATATTGATTAATTAATTTGATCAATGAACATAAACTATTCACATAATTTTGTATATTTTCAAGACTTATAACTCACAAGGGTAAAATAGAAAAAATATTATAATTTATGAATCAACTATTCATGGTAAGAATATATGATTTATAAAAAGAAACAAAATGAAATAAAATTTTCAATCTGTGTGTAATGAATACACTTTATTTAATATTATTGGGTGTTTGATTAATATGTAGCAAACCATGATATTTTTCTTAATACAAGTGTTTGTAATACATGAATTAAAGACAAAACTATCTTTAACACACCAAATCAAACCGAAAATAAAAAATAATTTCAAATATTGCCAATTCACTCTATTCGGTATTATTCATATACGTCTGCTATATAGCATATTGTCTTTGTCTATTATCCAAATACCCATTTCTACTTTTATGTATAATTAAACGACATGATAAACCTACACTATGATAATATTATTGCAGTAAAGCTAAAAGTTAAAAAAAAAAAAAGTTAGATAAACATACCTGTAAGAAGCTGTAAATTCTGCTCAATTTCACGGCAGGCCATAACAGCTTCAACAGCATGGACTCTGACATGCTGCTGAAGCTGCTCTTTAAACGAACACAAAACTAACAAATACTGTGCCTGTTGCAAAAAAAAAAATTAAAAAAATTCAGTACTATCGCCATTTCAGATTTACAAACAAAATTAAAAAAATATATCACAAACAAAATTACCAAAAAATTATCGAGCTCTTGTCTTTCATGATGAGAAAGCGAGTGTTGTTGTTGCTGCTGCTGAGAAGAAGCATAAGATCTCAATAAATTATGAGATTGCGTGAGCTGAGCATCAATTAATGGCAACTGATCGATCGGCGTAGCTACTCGAAGACACGCTACATGTGCTGAAAGTAGCTGTTCATACAAAGGATGTGTAGCAATTTCACTTTTCAATTGATTGTAATGATTCAAATTTCGATTATGATGATCCTCAGAAGAAATCATCATAGATGAAATATCACCGCCACCTAAACCACTCGTATTACTTGAACCCATTAGCCCTAATCCTCCTTCTTCTTGTTGCATACTTTCTTAATAATCTTCACAACATGGATCTATATATAAATCAAATCTGTGTCAATTTTTTATTTTTTTTTAACCTCTAGCACCACCACCACTGCAGATGAAAGAGAAAAAATAAAGAGAATCTTTTTTTTCTTCTGATTTGATGTATATTTTTGATGAAGAAAAATCAATAAAGCTTTACTATATTGGAAGTTTTAAATATATATTGGGATCTGAAACAACATAACTTTCTGCAGAAAACTCTAATTTTTATCACATAAACAGAAAAAAAAAATAAAAGAAATTTATATTTTGGGATTTATTGAAAAAAGAGAAAGAAGGATGAGTGGAATTATTACTATGAAAGGGAAGCAAGAAGAGAAACGTCGGTAATGAGATCATAGATAAAGCTGTTGTATCTGTGGCCTGACATTTTGTGGATTTATTATTTTATTTTATTTTTAAAAAAATAAAATAATTTAAATTTTTAACTTTTAAGGTGGGCTGATATTTAAAATAGAAATAATTGACACTAATCTTGAATTAAGATAAGGTTATTGGTAAGATTAGGTGATAGAATATTGGGTATTCTTTAAGCATACATATTTAATTTGAACCTAACTCTAGACCCTTATTAAAAGCTTTTAATTTAATCTGGGTTGCGTCCTATTGTTTTTTATTCTTGCTCGATATTTAATATCTACATTAGAATTGAATTATATTTAAATTAATATAAAAAATTATACATCAGAATATTACGTGTTAATTTTATATCAAGTTCAAATCTCTAATTAAATAAATACTTATCATACCAGTGCGATTTTTAGCTCTACTTTTTCCTTAATATTTAAAAAGTACTTTTATTTTTATGTTTTGACTTTGAGATAACCTACTTTGATAATTTAATGTTTATAAGGAAATTCCACTTTTATACTTCTCATTTGATCCTTAAATCTAAACCACCATACACCTTCATTTATTTCTTTGTTTAAAACTTTACTAGATTTGTAAAATAAATTTTCCTAAACAAAATGTTTTCGAAGCTAAATTAATTATATTGCTTTCTTTTTCTATCTGAATTAAATAAACGCGAAAGTTTAATTTATATTATTATTAACTTTAACTTTTAAAAGTCAAATGATTTATTACGAACAACATATATCGCAAACAATAACAAAAATTCACCAATCGTGTTAACTACATACGGTATAATTTATCAACGAAGTTGTAAAAATAATATATTTTCAATCTTCTAACTATATATTAAATGCAAAAAATGAGTTGAGCTGTCACAGTTCCATGGCTGGTATATAATTTTCAAGTTTAGTCTATTTTCTACGCAATTTAGTAACAATTTTAATTATGTACCAATAAAACCCCCCATGTGTTAAACTGTTTGTTAGGCCACACATGACCCCCTACCTACTAATTACTATGTCACATATGTTTCATAAACAACAATTATATCAAAGTCTTTTTCATATAAATTCTTCCTCCAAAATCAAAATTATATCAAATCATATATATATATATATATATACTCATCAAAATTAAACAAATCTACCCTAAGTGGGCCACTAATAATAAAGATATGAAAAGGCTAAGGTTTTCGCTAGGCGACGGAGCTTACATAATTTCAAATTATATTATTGAAGCTATTATGTTACTTTTATAATTTCCGATGACTTTTATGTACAGAGAAGAAAGAAACGGGGGGAGGAGATTTAAAAATTAATAACTAAATAATCCTCGCCAATAGAGTGAAAATTCAGATAATCAACCCACTGAGCTGTATTGAAATTCTGCGATGATATTCGTGTTGAATGATGGATGTTTGTTTTGTATTTTTTTTTGGAAATTATTTATTGTGAATTAAATGTAGATATATGATTAGATAAATATTAATACTTTGATATATGCTATTTTACTATTGATTTAGGAATAAGCAAACATAATATGAAAGTAGGAAGTGAAATAAAACTTTTTTTTTAAACATAATTAATTGTGTTATAGTTTGGTTTATGTGGTGAAGTAGCGGAGGGAACAAGAAATAATATTTTTTGTCAAGAAAATGTTTGGTAGTAATGGTTAGATGAATTGGTTGGTTTAAAAAAAATTAAATTTTATTTAGGGTAGACTCGATATTTACTATATATATATATATATAAAAAATATGATTTTATATAGAATGTGATTTTTAGCGAAAGAGTTTGTTTAGAACAAACGATCTAAATTCAATGATTTGACTCCTTGTTTATGTTGATCATCTTTTATCATTAATTCATAATGCATTTTAAAAAGTTCTCCACAAGTACATGCTAATATTTCTAACAAGTCATTAATTAATCCCTAACTTGAATGATTAAACTTAATCTCGAAATGGTTGATTAAAACACAAAGTTTCTATAGTTTTAAATTGAAATTCTATATAAAGTAGAAACGTAACATCAAACTTTTAAAAATAAAATTTGATTACTAACTCGAATCTTCTTTTGTTATTTTTAGAACAATGGGAACTTTCCCATTTTTAAACAAGGTAATGATGAGAATAGCATAGAAATTGAGCATTATTAGAAATTTTGAATCAACATTTTTTTTTTCTCTAACATAATTTAATTTTATATCGTATAAGATCCTTTCAAATAAAAAGGTATTATTTACAACAATTTTCTCTACTTTTAAGACCTTTATTAAAACTTTTATTTTTTCTATTTGTACATCCTTGCGCAAAGGTCATGCTAATCTTCTCTGTATCGTTCCAATTTTATTGGATGTACTTACGACTTTTGTACCATAAACTTTAGAAACTTTTTTTGGTCCTTCAATTATTACGTCTTTCGAAAATAGTCTCTATACATCCTCGAAATAGTAATAAGATCTACGTACACTCTACTCTCCCCAGACTTCACTTAATGAGATTTCCCTTGGCATATTATCGTTATCAGTCCCTCAATTATTAATAAATTCTAATTTTAAAACTCGTGAAATCAACTTAATCATACTTTACTTTCAATTAATTGTAACGTATACTTTTGATCCAGGTTCGTAAATGTTCACAAATTTACCATCGGTATTAATTATTACTGTATTATTAAACTTGCATTATTACTACATATTTGACAATTTGGATTTATTTTTTCTAGTGACAATTTGGAATATGACAAAATATCACTCCATCATACAAAGAATTTGTAGAGACAGTTTGGAATATTATTTTTTTTTCTTTCTTTTTAGAAGATCAAAAAATGAATATAACAACTTTATCTTTTCTTCAATAATTTTTATGAAAGTCTTTTCCTTTAATGATTTCTGCAGAAATGAAAAGAAAAAAAAAGTAGTAGTGCCATATTATGTGTCTGTTTATAATTTCCAAAAGTGTACAAACACTAAATTCCGTATTTAAATAATGGTCGATTCAAAAAAGGCCGTGATCATTAACCGATGAAATTAGACGATAAAAATTTATCCGCACTCGATATATATATCATTAAAATAATATTATATTTTATCATGATTAAGTACTAAATTAGGTCTAAATGTGCTAATTAATTGTAGTTAGATTGAGAATTTTATTAATTTAATGTAAGTATCAGATACCGAAAAAATTTCATAACCAAACTATTTTCGATCAAGTTCCTCAAATAGTAAAAGAAATTACCACGTTGTACTATTAAGTATTATCATGTCATTTCATTCGCAAAAAGACTTGATATTTTATTTTTATTATTATCTTATTATAAAGAATGTGGGTTCAATTTTACTTAGTTTTTCATTAATAGGAATTCTTATTTTCGAATTGTTACTTATTATCAAACTAATTGGAGAGGATACAATAATTAATTAGGGTGGAAACTAAGAGCTTGTATGGTGCGAGGAAAATAGATGATTAATTTTAGCATAAAATAGATTATGAATTAACTTATTTTAAAATTATAAAGTTAATTTTCATTCTACATTAAGGCTGAAATAATTAATTAGGATAAAAACTATGTGTTTGCAACAAATCAATAAACATAAGTCTTATATTTTACATACACAAACTATTCTTGTGTCATTACTTTAGTTGTACGAATTCGTCTCAATAAACCATAAACTATAAACATGTTTTTTTATTGAGAATGATGTATGTAAACATTAATTTCACCAACAAAATTTGCAAGAAAAAGAAGGGTGAAAAGTCGGTAAGACTATTTCATCTTTAATTAGTGATTTTGAATTTGAGATTTGAATATGAAGTAAATTCTATTAAAAACATCATTTTTAATTGACTCTTTCTCATTCGAATTTAATCAAAACTCCGAAAGTCGAAAGGCAAAAGAAAAAGTATATATAGTGCAATAGTGTACAGTAAATGTTAGTTGAAGAGGGGTGGGGTTAACATCATAGCTGTAGGGTTGTCATATTCTCAGTCCTAAGATTGAGACAAAAGGTTAGTATGGTCCCCTACACATAACTCCTTTTTTTTTTGAAAATTTTAAAAATAATTTCATAGGGGGTGGGGGGTAGAGGGGTATTGTCCCTTTCATTATCCCCACATATACTGACTTTTCTCTCTGCCATATGAAATTTTAATATCTTCTCTTTTGCTTTTTTCTGTCTCCTCCAATTAATGATATACTCCAAAGTCAATAAAAACTTTTCTAATCATGTTTAACCTAAAATCATTTATTTTTGTGTTCCATTGCAAAAATCATTTATTAGATTGCTGTTTAATTATGGGACATGACTATAATTATGGTGAAAAATTATATATGATGATCCACCACTTTAAGATTCTTTTTAATAAAGTTGAGTACATATTTGATATTTCACCACATGAACATACATTGCCATGTCACAAGCATGTACAAAAACAACAATGTCAAAGTGTAAGAGGATAATATGTATACACACTTTTCCATACCTTGTGACATAGATTCAAGACGTAATCAGAATTTGAAGTTTATGAACTTTAAAGACGTCTTTAAAATAACCAAACCGATATAAGAATTCCAACCCACGCCCATTTAGAGTAGATGGAGATTCTCAGACGGGAAAAAACAGCGTTTTCCCTAGCAATGTATGTGAGTGACAACAGAAAGAAAGTGCAACAGGGTGTAACATGTGAGCAATGTTAGAAAGGAAGTTGTTAACTTTGCCTTAAACCAGTATTTCCCTGCTATATACGTTCTGTACAGAAAAAAAAAGTCGAAAATGTAACTTGAATCAATACGTTTGCTACTGCTTCAGCTAACACGGGAGTGATTAGGAAGACAAAAGTTACGTTTGCTACTTCACAAACACACTAAAGAGGTGCAGTCTTTTACATCACAATACACTTGTCTTTTGATGACTTGGGATCTGGCTTGGGGGACGAAGACATAATTCTCGAGCTGTTGCTTGGTACCTGAACGGAAGTAATTTACTCTCTTAGATAACTAAAAACGCTAGTTGAAACTAGGAGTTACCAAATGTGCAAAACTAAAATATCAGAAGATTTCGAGCATACCTGAGGACCAGTAATCAACCTTGGCCGATCATTAAAAGCTGGTTGCTGGGGGTTCTGATTTCTCGGTGGTGCCTGTTGATGTTGTTGATCAAATTCCTGTTGCTGAAGAGCTATTGCCAATTGTAGATCAGAACTGCCACATGACAATACATCTTAGCACCATCACCAAGTAGATATATTCATGCTATAAAATTAAGGTTGCAAATATAAGTTTATCGACTTTTAAGGAATCCTTAAGAGTCAGCACTACAGTTAAAAAAAATTACTGCTTCACGCCATTATGTAACTGAAACGTGGCAGCAACTTCTACTGATGGAAACATTTTTTGACGACATATTATAGGAGGGCTTTGATGCTAGAACAGGAAGACAAAACAAGGCAAAGGTTGAATTATCAACAGACAGACTGGTCGAAAACGCTATTCTGCCAACTAAAAGACACCAGGAGAGCTAATGAAATATGATCCGCAGTGTTCCATTCTCATTTAATATATGCAAAAGAAGAAACATAATATTACTTGAAAGTTGGATGTCCTTGCTCTGTGTCCACGCTTGCCAGAAAGTTCTGAGAGTAACAGCTGAAGTTAGTTTCACAAACGCCATTGTTACAAATCCATAACATTCTATTACAGGCAAAGAACTACATACTGCAGTACTGTCCATAGCACTCTGTTGATCCCATGTGGTGTTGGCATTATCTTCGACCTTGAATTCCTTGAAATTGCTAGTCACATATATCGTGTTTCCATTCACCTAACATTGAGAGTGCAAAGTTGATACTTAATAGGCAATGCATGCAAGTAATAATACACTAACTTCTGCAAACAAGATAGATTCTTAATAGAGCTGCATTATACTGTTTGTCCTTCCTTATAAGAGGCAGCAAGACATGCAAAGGCCAAATATAGCAACGGGGAAGGCAACAGTATAGTGTTTATACCAAACTTAATGCTATTTGACACTATCAAACATAGCAAACAATATGTGCCTAGGAAAAACGGAGAAGTAATCCAAGGTAAATATATGAAAAGACACCTTACCTCGTTGAATTTCTCCCAAACCAAATCAGGCTGATTAATAAATCCTTGGTCAGTGGCCAAAATGTATAATTCGCCTTCAAACTGCACAATAGTTGACATCAATTTTCCGTGCTCAGAAAGCTTAATAAGTGCAGATTAATCACATCTTTAAAGGAAATTACTTTACCACAGTATAAATCAAATAAATAATGATAATAATATACTCTTCCAATAGAATAACAGAGTAGGTGAATACCTTAAACATAGTATTGAAATGATTATTCCTGAAGAAAACACAAAGTTCTCTCTCTTTCAAACCCTCTTGCAAGGAAAACAATCTGTGCGAAAGAGGAAAAAAGGAGAACTTTGTTACTTCTAGAAAACATAGAATTACAGTTATGAATGGGAGAATGAACTTATAACAGGGAAGGGAGCATACCCAAAGATTGTTAACTGACTTGCACTGTTCTTCAGAAAGTTCCTCACCAGTTCGCCTAATGAGAATTAAGAAAGAAAGAGCAATAGATGTTGAAATACAATTAGATAAAGAGACATTCTTTTATTACTTTCTCTTTCGAAAATATCAAGTTAGACCTTCACCCTACGCAAGAATATCTGATTTGCCTGATTCATTCATAAAAACAATTTCTCACCTTCTTTCTGTGTGATTTCATCCTTCGCGATTATCGCAGGCACATCTCTACTGCCTCCATTCACTTGTTCAGCAAGAACCACCTCGCCTTCATACATAGGCTCTCGACTTTGGTAACTTGTGGTTGCTGACTCCAATATGCAATCCTCTCCTTCATACATGGGTTCATCGCCATCTATGGAAGAATTAAAGGTTTCAGCTTCATCTGTGTCATGTCCTCTACCATCAGATGAATCTGTGGCTGCAGATGGTATCGACAAACTTGATGAATCAAACACATCACAACCAACTTGATTGGGTTCAGCTGCATTCCCATCTTCAGCAATAACAATTTTTCCCGGAATGTCATTCATACCTCCAGATAGATGCTCATGATTTTCACAGGCAGATGAAGAAATTTGACCAGACTCAAGAAGCAGACTCTCATTTTCAGCCAGCAGTTTTGCATTTCCAAGATCTTGGGTAGGTGTTTCCTGATCACATTTCAGGGAGGACTTAACAGCTACTTCAGAGGCCAACTGGGAACTATTTCGACTGCCATCACCAGATATTTTGCTAATGTTAGCTACTATTTCTTCTGTGGATACCAATGCTTCATGCTGCAGAACTGGTTGCGTCTCAATAGCATTGACTT